GGTCACTCATGCGTCCGGTTTGTTTTTATCTACAGGGATCGCTGAACGTCAGTATGAAACGTTTCCGCGAGATGCGCGCATTGCTTCTAGTCTTCATAGTACGAATAAATCAAAACAGTTTCAAACAAATCATTCTTAACTTCAGATATTTTGAAGGTGCTCTGTTGTTAGCATTGGCCCGACAAAGATTTTACAAAAACATGTTAACGAGAAGTGACATGAAATTCAATTGTTCCCTCGGTAATTGAGTGCGTTCAACAGGGCACTTGGCTGAAATGTACTCCTTTTTGCTGATGAGCTCATACACTACGTTTTTTTTTTTGCTAAGGCTCAGTAGTGCTGCGAAACAGCTCAAAATCTCGCATTAACTGAATCAACGTGTCTGTCATCTCTCTAATAAACACAAAGAGATGGCATGATACGTAAATCAAGCCTCTTGTGTACCATGGGCATACAGCTGATTATCACATGTGTTGCTAGGTGATCGCGTGTAACATGAACTGAGGCGTACATGGTGGTACACCGTTATCGATTCTTTTACTTTGGTTTGTCCTGTTCTTTATTTTTCTTGAGGGGAAAACCTTAGCTGTCTCATCAAACCCGAGCATTAACCGCTGGCATCCCGCGTCATCAACACGAATTTTGCAAAAACGTTATGACATGATGATGTCACAGATCAATACAATTCGTGATGGCATCATGTCGTCATTCAGCAAGTGTCATATGGCGACGTCATCACCTGACGTGGTCTCTCTGCGTCACCTCCGAGGCGTAATCTTGGAGGCCATGTAAAACTTGCTGACATGCATAAACCTTGCTATCTCTTCAATCATGGGGGCAGTGCGAAAACACATTAGGTTCACAAAGCTTTCGGAGGGGACGGGGATGATCAAGGAAGACAAAGAAAAACAAAGCTTTCACTGTCGAGTCATCTTAGACGAATGCACAAGAGTCTTTGTGAGTTACACTTTTTTTCGTGTACTTTACCTACGTGGTCCTTTCTCCAAAATGTATAAGTCTTAAATCCTAAAATTGGTGTTGATGATCACGTTTTCAGTATCTGTCAGAGACGAGTCATCAAACCAAGCATCGTCAGAATTATTTTTGGTCGAAGAAAGTCGGAAGAAAGTCAGTCCGCATGCCACACACCCCTCTATAACCATTAGTCGTTATGCAGATCACAAGGAATTCAAGTTAGTGATGTCATAACCTTACCAAGTGAACGAGATGCAAAGGTTATGTGAGATAATTCTTACTTTGGTACCGCGGCCACGCCAACGGACACATTCCGCTTCGCACGAAAATGCTTGAAACAGCAGAGGACGGAACGCTGCCATTTACGCAAATGAATTGCACGAAGTATAACAAATGACATGAAGAGTGCAAACACGTTACCACGAGATATCCATTTACTACGTGCATATATGTGTGTGGAAGAAGCGTGCGTTAGGACGAGCTAGCGAGAGCATGCGAGCGGCCGATCGCTCGCATGCTGAAACACAAGAAACAAGAAGGAGCTCGTTTTTCAGAGAGACAAAAAAAAAGGGTGAGGGGGGCTCGCGCAATCGAGATCTGTGCTTCCACAACTATCATAAATGCTGGTGGCCACTCTCGGGCTCCCGCTTGTAGCCAGAACCGTCCAACCTGAGAAAAACGAATGCCAACCGGAAGTACGCTGCAAGGAGAGTGGAAGCAACACGAAAAAAACGAGCACACTCTGCCCGTGAGTAGCCAGAAGTTGAAAGAGTTCCAGATTGGAACCTGGTCAGAACAAGCTGGAGAGCTACCGCACCTGCATCATACCCACATCATACGTGCTCCTGGTCATCTTTATGATCTGCGGCTTATTCTTTTGTGCAGCACTTTTAAGCTCATCATTTCACATGAAACTAAATTAATTACCTTCATTAACAATGAGTGCACGCAAAATGCATTCTTCAAACGGGCGCGTAAGTGCGGATGACTGCAGTGACAAAACAGCTGAAAAAAATATACAAGATGCTACCAACGTGCGACCTGTGTCCTGATTCAATACAGTATAGTGTTGAAGTGACGCAATAATAAACTTTGCCTATATTACCGCAACGTTGGCTAATAGCGGCCGAAATATCGGGCACATAGCAGTTGCCCACCGCTTTGACGCAGCCTCCAGGGAGGAGAAAGCCCACGGGTTCAAAAGCCCCTAGAAATTCGTTTTAGGAGTTTTAGGGGCTTTAACGGGTCCGGCACGGCTGCACCGCGGCGCGGGAGTTCACCCCGAAAGGCCCTCACTCCTCCCACGTATTCGCGCAGCACTTTGGACACTGCCCTTAATTTAGGTCAGTCTAACAATGTGCTGTGAACGGTTTTCCGCCATGTTGACAAGTGCGGAGATCGGCCGATAAGTTATTCCAACTTTTACGTGATTGTGGCGATGACACATTGCGAGCCATCATAGGGGAAAAGACAGAGGTGAGGTGGTGACCACCAACGAACGCCCCAATATGACATATCGTCGATGAAAAGCCTTAGCTTCCCGGTTATTACACAGTAAGCATCCCCGGTTATCTGCTCAGGCGGCTCGGGTATGCCTGTGGCGTAGCGTCACTTTAGGCCTACTGCACGCATATAGTAGGGGACTACCTGAACACGCTGGGCCGCCGATAGCTGCCGTTTGGTATTGCAGGACCATGTTTAAGCGCGCACCCCTTTACAGAAACGCAAGCAGCTCACTGACGCAGACTTTAGTGTTGCGGGTCATGAGCACCGAGAAACCTTGCTGTCTTACGCCAACACACGCACCGTAGAGCAAGCGTAGCGCTGTTGTAATCATGCTGCACGCTTTTATACAACGACAGCCCAAACGCGCCTCCATCCGTTGCCAGGACTGCTAGAGCATCGTGGAGCACGCATTGCTTGGGGAGAGCTAGCTCTTCGTCACCACGTTAACCCAGTAGGCTACTCCCCGCATCAGCAATCACGGTGCTCACCAATTGAGCGAAGCGCTGCACACAATTAGCCATGCAGAAAAGAATTTTGAATAAATGAAAACTGCGTCAGTTTTCTCTAAGAAGCAAACCGCGGAACAACTGTGTATCACACAACCGATCATGTCCGTTGTGTCGCCGTACCACGCCCCGTATCCCGGACCCCACAGTAGTTTCGAAATGCTCATCGGAGTCCCCAACGCGCGCAATCGGGCAATTGTACGACGAGAGTCAGCAACTTTTCTGGAGTTTGGCAAAAAGAAAAAAATGGCTTGCGGTGGGCACTTTAGGCAATATTTTCTGTGGCCCTGAGTTTCTTCCTCTGTTGGCAGCGGCACAAGTCAGGAGATGGAAATTTGTAGCTGGTAGTTGATGCGTAGTGCGTTTAGAGCGCAGGTATGCCGCTGTCTCTGGCAGGTACGTGTGAACGATGCATCACTGTATATTAGTGCTTCTTTAGCTTTACAGTACATTAGCAAAGCTTTAATAGAAATATCACAATTACACAAGTCGTAAAAAGATATTTAGGTGTGCCCTGCCCCATTATGCCCCATAGAGGTAATAAAAGCGAGGCATGTCAAAAATTATTAATTTTATAATCCTTTCGTATGAACTTTTATCTGACTCTCTGTACTTTATGCTCCGATTTCAGGTCTGAAATCGCATTATTTGAAACCACAATCACTGTGATCTTATCTTCCAGCCTCGAGCCAGTGTTCTCGTGGGCCAATCCATTCGCAGTCACAGCTGGTCCTTAATGTTGCTTTTGCCTTAATGGAGCACACTAAGACTCTGAAGAGGCCACTGTCACTTAACACAGTTAAGTACGCACAAGAACATCTACCATGTCTTGTTAGTAAAATAGCGTTAGCATGTACCGGCTTTTAATTTAGTACTTGACTATACTTAAAACGTAGTCTCAATGAATTTCCGGCACAGTCTACATAAAAGCCTAGTGTTTTCACTGCCATTGCTTGTCACTGTGCCAACCAGTACATCCCGCTATCACCTTGATTCGCACAAAGGGGGAAAAAAGAAGCAATTACTAGTTTTTTTTCGGACAATCTCACGATCTATAAGGAATCGCAAAACCAGAACTGCACTTAGGAGCAACAGTTCTTCTCCTGTATTGAAAACTTGAAAGAGCGAGAAATGGACGGTGGCGGGCGCGTAGTTGCAGAAGTGGCATTGGCCAAAGTGGTAGGTGGCAAAGCCCAGCCGCTTACCATGGGAAGAACCCTGAATCCGAGCAATTAACTCTCATGACACTTTCTGAACAAAACTGTAATCATCACTTGAAAGCATCATATTTATTGAGATTCCAGCTGTGACGCATGACAGCCACATTTGAACTGCACACCTCTACTGTCAACAGTCCCTCGTGCAACAATGCAATATGCTAATACAGCTGTCCCATGGAACAGCAATACGACAAGTACCCGCAGCTTTTATGCATAAAACATGACATTGGTTGAAGGCTACAGCTACCACTTGCTTCACAGAACTATAGGATGCTGCTCAGGATGGTGTCAAAACATTTAACAAATTTAGGCAACAATGCTTTCAGCAAAAATGAAGTGTCCTGTACAGTGGCGTCACTAATTGCACAGTAACAGTAAATCTATGAGTTGATTTACTCTTTAATGGCTCCTGCACATGCACAGATCCAGGGCCGACAGCCAACTTAACCGACAACCCCTTCTTGAACATTAGTGTACACAGTGTCAACACAGGGCATGTAACAATCTCTTGAAGTACTCCGAGCTGTTGCAGTGCCATTAAAACACTCACTAAGACATTAGTAAATTTACAATCAGTATTGATCTAAAGGATTTATGCAATCACCGCCACTATCAATCACCAGTTCAATGTCGGAACCCTCCCTTGAAAAACATTCATCTGTGCCTGCTATACACTATCAATGCTCTTCAGCAAAACTCATCGCAGAAGTTTCATATTTTGACAATTAAGTGACATCTATTGAGTTGATGAACCAAAGGCACAAGAATGACATTTCAGGGAGACCGCACTTACCCTGAACGATGGCATTCGGGGCATGGCCGCTCGAAGGCCAAATCCAAAACCGGAACCAAAGCTGTCGCCCATGGAGAAGCTGGACTCGTTTCTCGAACCATCAAATAGCGACGACAACGATGAAACAGTCTGACTGCTCGTCGCTTCATTTTTCAGCGTGACCTCAGAAGTCTTTGACTGTTTAGAGAAAAAAAAAAAATGAATGAAAAAATAACTCTCCGTGCTGGCTACAGGCGCACAGAACAAAAGCAAGTCCATTGCAGGTGGCTTTTGCGTCACAAGAATGTAAAACAGCACAGCACAAAATGAGTAAAATCCTCCTCCAGTTATCATGATTACTAATCTTTAGCATCCATGCAGTTATCTGTCACATCAATCTCATTTCAAAGTCTGGCTTCTTCATATTGCAGCAGATAACGTCAAAATGATGGAGCTAACAAATCACTAAGAAAGGGCAATAGGGAATGGAGAAGGTACATTGTAATACCCATTGTTAAAGTGCGTCCAATATTCAAATAATGACCTTAACAACTAATGCCAAATGTGTGAAAGAAAACCTCTTGAATTTTATATATATTCTTTATCCAGGTGCAAATAAATGTACAGCATACTTTCCATCGATCACATTAAACAAAGGCTACCACTCAATTTTTATCCAAGGTGGCATTTGAAAGCCAGAAACTTACTTCATTACGCCACTGTGTTACATTCATCCGGCATACATAATAAATTCACTGAAAGTCTAGCTTTCTTTTTGTCCGCGTAAACTTTAGCATGTAAACTCGTGAAAACTTTTGCAGAAAGTTTTTAGCTTCATACAAGACATGCTAGACTACACAGAACAGCCTGAAGCAGGTTCATCTATCAGATTTTCCATGCTACTGTGTGCTAACAGTTCGTGTTTGCATGAGCCCATTCATGAGGTTCTTGTGGCAGGCCACACGATCTACATCTCGAAAGGAAAAAATAGCAAAGCTAAACAACATATTAGCAGCCATACAAATTTTAGTTCAGTTTTTGGGATCTTTAAGATTACCAAGAACAATGGTTTCAGTAATTGCTGAAAAAACGCCTAATGGCAGCATAGGTCTATGATTATACGATTGTCTCTCCCCCAGCTCCACTCACCAGCCACAATAAAAAATGCAAAAGTAACTCTTCCAGCAAAACCTTAACGAGCCAGCTCACTCATCATACTTGCGATCTTTCTGAAGATAACTTCCTTTGCAGATTCTATGGCAAGAGGGAAACACGAAACAATGGATGCAACCATCTTATTAAACCCCTTAATTATCGAGGTTGGGAGACACAATATAGAGAAGCGTAAGCACATACCAGAGCAAGAGTTTAAAATTGAATCACGGTATAAATTTGCCGAGTTCCCCACACCTCCATGAGCACAAATACATGTAAAAGAAAACTTGCATGTTCCAACACAGAAACAAATAATGCATTGATGCTTTAGTGTGAGCTTTCAAGAAGCACACTGGAAAAACAAAGACCCGCATGCCATTTTAAGTATTCTTTGGAGGATCTAAAATTTGTTTGGAAATACCAACAGTGTAGAGCCTCGTTGTCACGCTCCCGCCTAACACGATTTCCCGGCTCCTACGCTCGAAATCACGAAAACTAAAAATGCCCCCGTAGAGCTACGTGTTTATGCGTTCCGCTTAATATGTTCCCGGAAAATACGATTACTAGGCAGCAACGTTCGGCATTGCGGCAAAGTGCGGTCGTATCATACGTTCCGCGGGAAATAATTCTAATGAACTGCGCAAAAAAAAAAAAAAAAAACTGCTTCTCGCGGGCCGCCGCGCGGCGAAGGCGGTGTCTTCGCTGCCGTTCAATTGTCGCCCCTCTCCCACACAGAGACCCGTCAGTCTTCAAACGGTTCTCAAAAAAATACCTGTCTTTTTTTTTTTTTTAGCACAGTGGCTTTCGCGTTTTCGCGCGGATTTTAAGGCTGCCGGATCATCGGTACGCAGTTGCTGCCGACACTCCGCCTCCGGTAACGCACTATCGGCCCGGCGAATACGAGCTCTCACGTTTCTGCTGTCGGCGCTCTGCGACAGTTGTCTGTGGCCTACCCATGTGGAGGCTTCATAGCGCGCGCGCGCTGCGCACGTCAGCAACGAGATAGACGACGTCACTCAAAACGCAGCTAATAGCGCGCGTGCTTTACGACGCCGAGAACGACGTAACTGATGTTACAGCCAATGGAGATCACTCTCCACTCCGACACCGATGCCGAACGGTTTAGGGATATGCAGGCCCCGCCAGGATCTATGCGAGGCTGCACGTTTCTCAGTGTACATAGTTCGCGATTCGAGACTGTTGCGTTTAGCTTGGCGTCGAGGAAGCGCGTGCCATTGTCGATTAAGGCGCAGCTGAATATCCTTGCGGTTGTCGATAGGAACCCGTAAAGGAAGCGAATCGACATAGATAACGAACGACTGCCAGCGAATGAATACTGTTGTGTCGAAGCGGAGAGAGATCGAGAAAAACGCCTTGGTATTCGGCGGCGCAACAAGGCTAGCCCGTGGAGTCCGCCATGGGGAGCTAAAGGAGGCACTAATGAAGAGCATGGGCCTCCGGAGTGAACTTTCATGCCAGCGTGCATAAGGAGCAGCTGTTTCAGGAAGTGCTGTTTTCGGCGGCAGCTTGCATGAGAGGATGCAGAGCGCAGCGAAGACGACCCTGTGACGCGCGCGCCTGACAGACGACGATATCGATGAGGAGTTGCGACGAGGGGTGCGTCGGGCCCACGCACCCCTCGTCGAGTTCGTCTCGACAGACGACAACGTACCGACTTGCGAGCCGCATAGGGAGTTCAAGACTAGCGCACCGCAAGTCCTTGCAGTGCGGTCGCTGCCTCGGCGCATGCGTTATAACGCGAGCCGCCGTTCGCGCTTGCGGTCCGCCCGCAGAAAATCCGAAATAGCGTGCGGCCCGCTAGTAGCATTTGGGTTGGCGGGGAAAATAGCGGGTGGGGGGCAAACGCCCGCAACGCCTGCTAACGCTATTGTCGGGGAGGTGGGGGGGGGGGGGGTTGACTTGCCGGAACACCGTGGCGAGAATGAAGGCATGCGCCGACCGGCTAACTTCGCCGAAGCCCTTGCTGGGCTGAAAATGATACTGCTTTAGCGCAGCTCAGTTCGAGCGTGAAGAAATGATGCTATACGGTCAAGATGGGGAAAAAACAGAGGACAGTGCGAAGGAAGCTCTACAAAGCTTCTTTTGCGGGAGAAATATTGAAAATGCGGACAAGGGTCTGCAATGTGCGCAGACGGAGCTTTTCTTGTCCAAGGGTGAGAGGCAGAAGCTGGAAATTAGAATGTTTTTTTTTAGAAATAAATGTATTTCGTTTTTACGCTTCTATATGGATTTGTTCGCCTAACTTTTTGCTGGATTTGGATCGTACGTTTCCCAGATAGTATGTTTATTTCCCTCATCTTTTTTTTTTTTCCCGAAAACGTATCAACGAGGTTCTACATATCCTTCATTTGATTTATTAAATGTGTACCATGCTGTATCACAATTCTAAGAAAGGCCTAGACAAACAAGTTATTCACTTCAGCAACCAAGGCGGCCTAAAATTAATGAATTCTATTCAGTGGTTTCTTCCTTCTACCATAACTTTGCCCGAAGCGAGGATTTTTCATCCCACCCTCATCTACAACCATGCAGCTGCTACAATCAATAAAACTGTCGCTGGACAAATAAAGCAGCACCCTATCAATATGAAGGCTTTAGTTGTGCCTGCAACCAATTTTTCCGACGCTGATAAATTCTGCATCAATGCTATTAGAAAATCACTGTTCCAGAACCTTAAAGTTTAACAGTTCATGCTTACTTGCCAGGTGTGAACATTTGTGACCTTTCTGCACGCAGCGAATACCGCAGCATACAGCCCTAAAAAGAGCATGAGGCACACGATCTCTGTATGTTAATGCGGTGACCCCTTCATTTACATTGAAAACCATTCAGCCAAGTCGCAGAGTGTGTGGTATTCGTAAAAAAACTTAGTCTATCACTTGCCCTCCAGTGCCTGCAGTAAATTTTTCGACATGGCAGTGTTGACATTCCATAGCACTGAAATTCTTAAGAAATGCATTTAGTTATATAGAGACTAATAATGCACTGCATTCCGTGAGCTTCTGGTTATGAAAGTCAGGTAGGGTTTGCAAAGAGGATTTCGCAGCACGTGTTTTAAGCTCCCTACAATGAGGTTTAAGGGCATGGTTACATATAAAGTGAGACTTCAAGTTCATCCTGCACATTTTATAACCAGGATCTCACTGATGTCATTTAAAGATTTTGTATGCATACAATTATACGCAACAAAACAAAAAGTTCACAATGCCCTGCACACACTGTATAGAAAAGCAAGGCAGAAGATTATGAGCGCCACATATACCTTAGATGCAGCAGAAACCTGTTCGTCCCACCAAACTTCAAAGCGCTTGAATGCGTAGCTTTCCACCATGCGCTTACAGATGTCCCGTTTCACAATTTCCCTCAGTTCCACCACCAGGGCGTCTAACACGGCACGCACTGTGGGTGCATTGGGGTCTGTACTCATCGTGCCGGGAGGCAAGGGAGGGCTGTTTGCTCTGGCAAAGCCAACACGTTGCATTGGTGCCATAGTGTTGTACCACTTGTAAGGTGACGGTGGCATCCGGGCTGCCGAGTAGTCAACACGGCCATACTGCGCGGGCGTAGATGACGATGGGTAGTAGTGAGGTGGGTAGGGATGAGAGTGCGTTGATGCTGAGCTGTAATGGGGCAGTGGCGGTGGCGGGTAGAGCGGATTGTAGGCTGGCATGTGCGGCGGAGGGTGGACAGCGGCAGTAGCGGGTGCCGGTGCACTACCGTGGTAGCCATAGGTCGAACCAGAACGAATTGGCGACGGCGGAAGCGGTGGCTGCTGCGCATGTGGAGATGGTGACTGGACTCCCGACCCCATGCCAGGCTTCCAGATGCCCATCTGTGCCATCATCTGCACTTCCTGGCTCGGATACATGGGGTGTGCGCTTGGATAGGCTGACACAGGTGCATACACAGACGACGTCTCTGGTGTTGCTGGGTAAGCCACTGCAGCTGGACTTGCAGTTGCCTCCTCGGTGAGGTACATGCTGGAATTTGGGGGTTCGGGCAGCGGTGCATTTACTTGCAGTTTTTCTTCACCACTGCTTAGCGACGAGAGTGACATACGATCGTCGTCGTCATCGTCCGCGTTGTTTGCAGTGGCATCTTCTTCTTGTGCTGGCTCTGGGAGTTCATCGTGAACTGGTGTTGAGTCTCGCGTGCTTGACACTGACTGGTTAGTTTCCTCGTTTGACTGCATGGTCACATCAGCACGACGGTCGTCAAGCTCAGAATCCGAAAGGTCCCTTGTCCTCGCCTCTCTCGTTATTCTAGCCCAATGATGGTACTCCTGCAGTGATAAAAACGGTGATGGTGGAGTTGACAGCAGCTCCATGGCTTCGTCGTCTTCTTCAGGTGGGGGAGGTGGAAGCTCGTCCCTTTCTGGCAGTGGAGGCAGTGGGGAAGAATCGGGAGGCAGAGGCGGGAGCGAAACCGCAGCCAGCCCGTCGGAGCTTTGTGGCGTGGACGGCACCGGAGAACTCTGCTGAGGAGCCAGGGTTTCACTGAAAGGTGGACTTGCAAAGGGCGGCGCACCTGTGTCTAGAAATCCGGCCCTACCTTCCGTCTGCTTCAACAGGAGCTCTATGCGGCTGTCGAGGCTTTCGCGAGCAGGGCTCTGCTTGGGCGGTGGAATGGCATCAGCGTGGGGGTCCCACGCGGACCCTTGCTGCCAGGCCACTCCATCGGACCCCCATGATGTCCCAGAGTGATTCACATCCCAAGAATGGGAAGGTGCTGCATATTGAGACGACGAGCAGTAGGAGTAGCCGCTGTCATAACTCATTGGGGTTGACTGGTTGGAACGGTACGATCCCGAGCCATAATCTGAGTGGTTGGAGTAGCCATAGTCAGATGGTGGGGGAGGGGCGGGAGACGGATGGTGGACTCTTGGTGCAGGTGGTGGTGTTGGTAGCATCTGCGACGGAGTAGGAGGAGGAGGGGGATCAGGAATGAAAGGTGTTGGCTCTTGAAACTTTGGACGGTCCGATGACATCTCCTCGTAGAGCCGCTGGCACTCTCGACCTGTGGAAAGCACAAATATAAAGGCATGAATTACATTTTCGTTGAGTTTGAAATTGAAGTAATGCATGTTGTTAGGCTTGTTGGTTCGTCAATTTTGAAGACATGCTTAAACTGCACAAAGCAGACAACATGCTTGCAATATAGAATATGGTACACATACACATGCAGTACACTTCGTCTGTGTGGGTGTTTCATGTTTGTAACTGAACTAACATACTCTCGACCAATGCATACATTTTACATTCATTTCTAATAAAAAGCATGCATGCAAAGACTCCTCATGCTAAAAAATGATGGCTTAACAAGAACGAACATAAGCGTCCTGGGCATACAAACTTCAGTAATAGCGTAGTAACACTATATGAAGCAGACACAGATGTGCTCTGTTACCTGCCACCACGCAACAGACATGTTTCCGTTCTTTAGATGACTTTCTTGGTCAACCTTTGTGAGCATATATTTATCTCATTCATGTCCTAATTGTCTTTCAGTAAAGTTAGTTGAGGAAATGATTTGGCATTAACCTTTCATCCCAATTTTTCTTGATGGTTGACTAACTCGCCCAAGCAACCACGTTGGTGATTTTAACAGTTCTATGTTTCCTAGATTTGTATTGAAAATGATACAGTTCAAAGTACAGTTCAATATAGGTGGCAGTAACTATAAATCTGCAGTCGACAAGGTCTCCTGTATGATTACTTGGCCTCTGTCAATAATGATGTATCATGGTCGCAAGCAAAAGGAGCAAGCTCACCAAAAGGGTCGAGGAAAACATTGAGGATATTGCCCATGACTGAGGAGAGATGCATCTTCTCAACGCAGTAGCGGGCAGATTTTGTGGTGGAAAATATGACACGGGCCAAGCCCAGGTGTTTCCGCGTTCGTGCATGGTAGTAGACGACAGACTCGTCAATCTGTCCAAACTTCTTCAGGAGGTCATCCAGGAACGCTTTGCCAATGTTGTCATTAAGATTGGTGAGGGTCACCTCCAGTGGTGGTGGTACACCCACATAGTGCTCATCAATCTGAAAAGCAAAAAAACGATGCACTTTGACGAGCACTTGACAAAACATGCAATATAAACAAATTGACTGAGAAATCTGAAATAAGAAAACTTGCCAAAAACATAATTTTTCAACACCCGCAAGGCCCCTGTCTACCTAATTATGATTTCCAATGTTCGAAACAACTTTGTTGCTAAGAGAGACTCGCCCGTGGTTGTGGATGAACTTAGATCGACTGATTTGTGGGGTTTAACGTCTCAAAACCACGATATGATTATGAGAGACGCCGATGAACTTAGAAGACATAGTTCTCTTACATGCACCTAAATTTAATTGCACAAATGTTATGCCCTAAGAGGAACATAGTCACAATGGCTGGAAACCAATCGCGTGACCTATGTTCAGCTGCAGAAGCAGCGTGCCACAGGTACTGAACGGCCGAATCCTGTCACTACCATAAGCAAAGCATAACATTAACGCACCATCATATAAGGGAGCAGTGAAGACACTATGAACAATTGTTTTTCTTGTGGTCCTATGCAGCTTCTTATTGCTCTGACATTTCCACTAGCATGAATGAAAGAATTGTGCATATGCACCTCTCAGCTCAACCGCAGTAGCGATCAAAGACAACACAACTGAACTTCAAGGGAGGCAGTATTGACATGCTAGATGCAACATTGAGATTATGTTCAAGAACAGCTCTCTTTCCTGTTGTAGATGGTGTGTGGGCTAATTTACCACATAGCAAGCTTTATACTACACTTCACCTCTTTGACATATTTGCAATGTACACACACAGTAAAGCCAAAACTGCAACATAACAGGCACAACAAACAAAACTTATCGTCATCACACGCAACTAGAACCGATTGGCCGACGCTGTCATCGATGGGAACATCTGCAGTACTTAGCAACCATATACCTTATGTTCATTCTGAGGATTCACGACATGTGAAGTTCTAAATATGTTGCAGCACATCACTTATACTGTGACTATGTTTCAAGCAACAAACATGATCTATGATTACTGGTTATAGCAACGAAACAGGTTTTGGTAAGGCTAGTGCATGCACTTGTGAAACTACAGCTGCTTCTCTACACAGTGATTGCCAGAAGACAAGTGCACAAGCTCTTTCAGTTTCACCAAACTAGGTCTAACCTCAATTAAGACAATGTACAATGAAAACGGTTTCTCTTGAGATCTTTGTGAAGGGTGCAGTGCACAAGTGGAGTTGTTAGTCAAGTTCCTATGTGATCGTTATTACAAAAAAATGGAGCTCCCCAGTTTGAAGTTACATTATTGTTTGTATGACTGTATCAAGATTTACATGTGGAATGGGTCACATTCCCAACATACTGCGGTGTTTGGTACCAAAAAGCACAACTAAACATCAAACAGCTGACTGCTTTCAAAGGTTAACCAGGCCGCAATGCAAGAAGCACTAGGCACCAGCCATTTACACACCTTAAACTTAGGAACTGGCAAATCTGCCACTTCGGTTCTCGCCCACAGCAATGTGAGACGAGACCTCGGATCTCGAACTTGAACAGGTGGGTACAGATTCTCTTGCTGAAACAAAAAAAAAAAAAATAATAAGACATGAGCAACGTGCAATGATGTCCCTTCTTTAGATAAGGGCGCAACAATAGAACTAGACCGGTTCATAACAACTGGAGGTGTAGTATACATGCAACACTTACGCCTGACCAGCAATGCACTCTTTCAAACACTCAAGTGCACCGTAATTTTTAGATCGTGCTGAGCTACGAAGCACTGCACTCAAGTGAGGGAAAGCTGAGCTAACATGAGGCACAGTTGCTGTTGCAGCCATGTGCGATGTGATGTGTTTCGGCTAGCTTTCACGAGCTGAACGAGGTATGCATGCGGCGGTAATGTAGCAGACATCAACATCTCCTCACGGTGCTGCGCACGTCATTACTCAATGTCGCTCATGCCATCGGTGGGCAACATTGTCATTCCAAGACACCGGATAGACGTAAACACGGCTGCTAGTCAGCCGAAACGCGCGCATAGAGTCGCAGTGCCAGTGCACGAAGCGAGTCGCGATCCAGCCGGCGGCACGTTCAAAAGTAGCCGGTCCCAAGGTGGCATCGTACCCCAGGAACAACTCCATCGTATCTGTAGACTTTCACGGCCCCCTTTTTCATCGCTGGATCCACGAGCAGCTTGTAGTTCCTCTTCTTTTTCTCCCCATGGCTGACGTCCTGTTGAACGGGTCGAACGCCATTCATTGCTGCAAAAGTAAACAAAAAACGAGTTAGAACGGTCCTTAGCACACAAATTGGTCGAGTTAAAGGCTACTCTAATGTAACGCAGCTGTCGGCTTTTTTCATACTATCTGCGATTAGCGAAGGACAGAAGTCTTTGTGCATCGAGCAGCAGCAAAAACTACACCACCTGAAAGCTTGGCTAGCTTCGCATTCACGCGGATCGGCACAGCCCTGTTTCATCAACTAGAGTTCTTCGACGTCCTCGCCATAACACAGCCCGGCTGAAACAGCAAAGATGGGCTTCGTATTTTACAATAACCACCGAAAGGTGTTTTCCAACTGGTCCGCATTACACACAAGTTCGCCTCTCCATCTCTGTGGCGTTACCAAACTCAGACACTCAAAGGAAAGTGGCGGCGCCTACGTAGCAGCAGTTTCGTATGCGTGGATTGCAAGTTTCGCCAAAGTTAATTGTCTTTAAAACTAAAACGCGTGTTTTTAGGCAGCCTTTTATTTGTGTTATACTCACATGCGTATGGGTACAAAGTTTTTGAAGAGTAATAACTCACGTTTTTAAATGCGGCAATATTGCTTGGATCTGGGAGCTGAATAATGAATTCGGGCCAGCAGAGAAGGGAAGTTGGAATCTACAAACGATACGTGAAACAAACAGGCACGTTTTAAAACATTGCGATCACTCGTTAGTTGTGGTGACTACGTAATCGTACAGGGTGGAGATCATTTCTACCTAAGTGACCGCGGATGGACGCCCACGCTTGGTCCAGTAGGGACGGGTGTTTTGTTGCATTGAGTAGCTCTCTCGTCCTCCCTGAAAGGCTAAATGCTCGGTAAACATTCCCACAGCACGTGGCATAATGAGGAAAGAAAGCAAGTTTATCAGCTATTCCATGCAAATCATAACATTACACGGTGCAAGACAGTACCTCTCTATCATAGTGGAAATTCATCCGTGGGATAACCAACTCAACGATATCGCTGCTGCTTAAGACTATCGAACGGCACTTCGCCAGTGCTGTAGACCAAGACAGGAAAACCGACTGATGCTGATGCACAATCTCGTCGCTAAAGGGTAGTTTTTGCGTTGACACGTTAGTACTCATTCAGCAGTTGATATTTCTGCTCGTGAGAGAGCACTGCTGTCGCGGCTGTGCGTCGTTGTTTTTCGTCGGTCATGTGCTCAAGACGTCATTCGCCTGGTGGACCTTAGGGTAGTGTGTGGCAGATCGGGCACATGGGCACGTCCCTGTTTGTTCCAACTATAGTTGTTATTCTCTTTCGGCGGTGTTATCGAGAGAGTTGGTGTGGTGTGCAACGAAGTGTTCTCGCTGGTATCGATTGAAGTGGCACAGTTTCCGTTTTCGGCCTTTGTAACGCCTCATTTACGTAACTCAAACCAGACCAGTGAACGCAAAACGTGACTAATGTTGAGGAATTTCTGCAGTGCAATCATTACTAATCATTACTGCTGAAGGTTTGTGTATTCAGCTCGATTTTAGCCTCAAGGTCACGGATGGCGCGCTAGCTTTCGCGGCGATGACTGCGTTGACTTTCCTGCGATAGTTGCTTGCGGGCGAGTGTTGGCACCAAGGCATCCAAGTGTTGCGTGTTTTTACATGTCAACGTTTCTTGACTGGCAGATATAGTTGTGAGAAATGACAGTGGTTCATACGGCGAGTACAGTGCAAACAAGCTTTTGGCACAATAAATGTTCCATGTCTTTTAAAGCAGCTATGCAGGCTTTGCGTACCAAAGTCACACGAGAGGAACGTCCGTCGTTCGTGACCACCTGACGTTCTCCTCAATGTGCATTTTGATTCGCACGCATGCAATGCGGCTGCCGCAATTAGATTAGAGTCGGGGATTTCCGGCGGTGAATAGGAAAGCGCATGCGTGAATCAAACGATCTGTTATGCAGCCCTGTCGCGTTTAATTCATTTATAACGCAAGTTATGGTGACACAAGCACTATCCTCCTTGACTCGTAGACGCGTGAGCATAAGATTATGTTCTAAAAACGGAGCCCTTCACAGCTGTTACTACGCCAGGGGCCATCAATACAACATTGGACAGCTGTATACGTTTATATTAAGACTCGAACGCATTAGGAAGGCTTCACAATGTCAAAAAACTGCGATGCAACAGATGCTCCCCATATGGCTCCAGCAGTTGCTGCGTGAGCCACGCAAATAAACGCACAAGTCTACAGGTGCCGTTGCAGCATTTTCTCAAAATTTCAGCTGCTGGAGCTATGAGGGCTACGCTCGTCTTGCTAGGGCTGTAGTTGCTGTGGTGCTGTAAAAAGCTAATTCGTGGCGCTAGTGTACACATAGAATAGGTTTGTTTCAAAAAAGTTTCGTGACCCAAACTTGCGCAACCAATCTCAAAGGCTGCATATGCATTGCGAGCATAAGATTATTTTGAAGACCAGAAGAACAATCGATTCTTCACCCCGAAAACTGAAAAAACAAGTAACGATGTTTTGATAAAATACAGTATTATCAAACTTACATGATGTATTTGCTGTTTTATATTGCATCGACGATAACAGAAGTGCGAGTAGGATGTGTTTGCATCAATCGCTCGAACTTTATGACCTGTGAATTCCGACTTGTGTGTGTACGTGCCTTTCACTTTTTCTTTTTTTTTACAATTCGGCAAGGACACTCATATTGAGTTTGCCCGATGCCGACCCGATGCAAAGTGTACTTCAGCCGTGCTTTAGCCACATGAAATATATGGATTAGTCACTGGATTGCTGGCTGGCTTACGGCTTTGCATTAATTCAAATTTACATCGTCCAGACGGCAGAAGGTTTGAGCTAAAGCAAAGCGTAGTTTAGACGTTTAGTTCAACCAAAATTTGGTGGTTCAAGCCGCGACAGATCGAGTAATGCCGCCGAAACGTCGCAAAAGTTCGATGCAAGGCAGTGCGTCAAGAGCCCGTGATCGTCGGAGAGTGGACAAGGACGCGGCTTACCGCCGCAGGAAGCTGTGCGATTCTCAGTGGCGAGCCGAGTATTCGAGCGGCTTCGAAACGCTGCGCTGCCTGGTGCTAACTTCGTCGGTGCGTGACCGACGGCGCCGGGGCAGGCACGCCGTGCTGCAGGTGATATGCCAAAGGCTGCGCTACGTGGAAGGCCTCATCTCCGAGCTGCTCGCGAACAACACCGACCGCCGAGAGAAACCGCGCAACGTTGTGGAAGTGAGGAGCTGGTTCCTTCATATCGTCGAGGCGGAGTACCGTGGCTGACGATGAGAGAGCCATGTCGCAGCGAACAAAGCTCACAGGAGCTACTGCCTTCGCTAGAGGTGTTGGAAGGATGCGACCAGGAGGAGTTCACGGGTGTGCGCGAAGCCGGCAGGGCTGGCCAACGCGCCGATACCGCAGTACCGCCAATGCTGCCGGAGCCGCCATCAGCGAACCGTCAAGCCCGACAATTTGCCAAGTCTGGCGGAGCAACCGCGCCGTGGAGGCCGCCATCATGTCATCCCCGACAATGAAGAACCTCATGGAGAGCTTCTACGAAGACACACCTTATCCTACGAGCGGGCTCAACTTGGCGCAGATCGTTCCCGACGGGACCATGGTTCTTGAGGCTTGCCCGCCGTCCGATCCCGAGGACGAACATTTGGTCCCAGTCTGGACGCTGAGTGCAGACTTGCCTTCCACCGGTCTTGACGCCTCCTCCGAGGCGATCGTATCGGAAGACCCTTTTCTGAGTTCTACCATTGTGCACTGTGCCAGCAGTCCTCACAAGCTCGATGATGTTCCCGATTGGTCAGCCGAGGTAGAGAACACAGGTCCTAAACTGGAATGGGATTCTGATGCCAACGTCTAGGCAGCAAGCATAAACTTATTTGACGCAGCCCTCTGGTTGGGCAAAGATAACTTTCCTTTGTCGTTTATGTAAACACATTTTACTTGTGATATAACCTGCGTGATAGAGTTAGTGACGGTTTTAATGACAATGGGATTCTTACGCCAACATCTAAGCAGCCGGCGCGAGTTCATCTGATGCAACCCTGTGGTCAGGCAAAGATAACTTTTCTTTGTCGTTATTTACGTCTACCCTATGCCAGTAACACTTTATATTTGTAATATAACCCCTGTGATACAGTTAGTAACGGTTTTAATGACGAGACTTTGATGCCAACTTCTAGGCAGCGTGCCTTCTCAAGTGCTTCTTTCTTTTGTCATTGTTTACGTCTACTCGATGCTAACACCTTATACTTGTGATAGTCATTTATGGCTTCTGTTGCATCTGTGAACGTTATCCTGCTGCTACAGACACTTGCAAGTTACAATACAACTGTGACCTCATAGAAGTTATGTATTCACTACCACAGTACCTGAGCTCATTAAACACACTTTCTCATGTCCATGTCATCTTTTTTTTAATCATGAACGCTTAGACACATACTCTTGCTGAAAGCACGAATTGCTATGTTGACGTTAAACCCCACATATCAATCAATCAAATCAACGAATTGCTATGTTATATGTTACGCTATATGTGCACAAATTGCTACGCTATATGTGTACTCAAATTATAACCTTCCTCTTTCAATCCAATCCAAATCACATATGCTCTGCCATTCGATTTGACAACTGACTATAACAACAGTTTACATTGTCTTCAGGGAAAATTGCTCATGCAACAATTGTTTCTGAACAATAGACCCCTCCCTGTTTGCAAACAGTGTGACGTCACTGCGAGTGCCCCGTCCACAATTTCCTCCCTCAGGAACAGCTGCTGGTTGGCAAGATGTTCTGCCAGCAGGATCTTTCTGCATAGCAGCGCTGCGTGTATCGACATTCCTTCGACATAAATCTCTACGAATTGTTATTTTATAAAGTTACAGCTTTTAAAGGGAATAGTCACTACCTATAATGCATGATTCCGTTAGCTTAACATGTGGTGATTTTGCTCGTCATAGATGGCAGCCATAAAAAAAATCTTATCCTGTTCAAAAGCGAACATTTTGCATGTTTACGGTGACTGGCGCTTTAAGAAATATTTGTATGACATAAGTATGAATGTACTCAATTTCCGTCACGACATGCACACTGCAGCATTGGCGGTGGCATAGTTTCGAGCTGCTTTGCTTAAGGCCATAGATGAGATTCTCAGTCAATGAACGAAATTATGACCGGAGATGGAAAAAGAAAACCAAAAACAATGAAACACTTTTTGCCAGATTATAGGCTGAGGTTAACGAATCCCAATAGCTAAGAAGTTCTCCCCTATGGCATTCCTCTTAACCCACTGAAAATTTATAAGATTTTAAACCCTGTAACTTAATTATATAGATGATCTCTTGTGCAGTTACCTTACTGCATCTGATGCCTACAGTGTATTCCTACAT